GAGTATTTATCTGACTGGACACGTGTTTCTGGCTATATATTATTCTTGAGTGTACTCTAAATTGTTCATGCTCTGTAGTTCACGCAACATAATCGTGAGAAAAAAAACGATTGCATATAAATATATTCTGTCATAACTGCAGTAATAACTTTTTTCATTGACAACTAGCAATACCTAATCACGTAAGGCGTAAGGCGAGGTGTTTCCTGGCCCTCATGTATTCAAAACGTATTCGTCTGTAATTCAAATATATTCATTTTAGCGTTGAAACGATGACGTCATATCAACTATGATTTGAAACGTATTCATGATGATTCAAAATTAGTGTGAAGTTGGTTTTGAAACGGAATTTAACATTACGTTACGTAAGTTGTCAGTTTCTGCTTCATGTTGATCATTGGTGTCGTGGCTAAGTACAACGTCTACCATAGATTTTCAAACAGATTTTAGTTTATAAAGTGCCGAAAACTTTCTATCAGATACGTTGTAAGAATGTACGAAGCTAAGAAACTTTTACTTGGAATTCGATTTTGAAACTTTCCACAGTTGATACGGTATGCAATGAAAAGTGTTCTTTCTTTTACAGATTTTGCTATCATAATCTTTTCACATCCTGAATGTGCTGCAAATTATTCAAAACAAACTCAAAAATAAGTTTGATGACAAAAAAACTAGTGAAAATATAAGTAAACTATGAATATATATATGTCTATTTGAGTGTATTCATTTAAACGACTATATGACACTTTGATAATTCCATTTGTTTCTTCATATTGTTGGTTGACTAGATGAAGAAGAATAACTAGTTGTTGGTCCATATTTTAAATAAAGAATTTTGGTACCTTGGTTTTGAAAATGCAGCTTATTTGTGATATTTGTGCAGAAAATTGTATGAAAAATCTGATTCTAAATTGAGGTGAGACAAAATTGAAGAGTTTGTTTTTGTTATTGAATTCGACATCTACGAATCGTTTTTGAATACTTGGTCGAATACGATTAAACCCCATGAAACACTCTGAATTTGATAAATCTGTGAACCATAAATTCCAACTACTTTTCTCTCCCAATGTTCCTAAAGTTTTGGTAAATACCTACCGGAAAACAACTACTGTTAGATATAAATACATGCAAGATTCCTTACAGAGGACAGTTTTGCAGATTATTCTCGTACATCCAGCAGTAAGGTCACCAGAACCTATTATGACGGTACGTGGGAAAAAAAAGAATGTTTTTAGATTTTATTTAAAAATATTTATTATATTTGAACAAGCACTGTTCCCATACACCACAACTTTTCGAATCTACTCGTATTTTAATAACAAAAAAAAGACAATTTTTACTTTAATAGTTAGATTAATAACCTTGCATTTTGTTCTGTAGTTGATGATAATTAGATACTACAAACATATAATACATTATTTTATATATCAAAATCTGTGGCAGAGCTCGATATAGGCAAATCTTGTGAACCATGGCTCAAATTATTGAAATTTTTGTTTCGAAGGAATTTTTGTTTAATAAAATAACTACAGTCCATGTTACCTGCTAATAGTGTAACTTTCTACAGAGATCAAATTAAAAAAATCAGTTGGTAGTTTTCAGTTTATCCTTTACAAACAAACAAATATCATATATAGTCAGATATAGTCAAATAGTCACATATACAGATTTTAAACAGATTTAAACAGATAGTCAGTGGGTATACTTGAAGACTGGCTATACTTCAAATCATCTAAAGGAACAATTTGTTCAGGCCAGTCTCAACTCCCTACACTGTAGGTTAATGGACTGACACCTATCAGAAAACAACTTCTCCCCTGGTTAATACCACGAAGGGCGTTGGATTATATCCGACAGGTTTCAGTGCAGAATTCTTCACTGAAGTTATTTCTGCATATGCTGTTACCGATACAACTGCCGCAATAGACTTTCAATTATTGGAACACACTTGCAGACCGGTTTCGGTGAGTGAGTTGTGACTGGCCTGAACAAATTGTTCCTTTAGATGATTTGATTTGTAGCCGGTCTTTAAATATGCCCACTGAATATATGTGGAATTTTTTCCTTATACGAGGAATTGGGCAAATTTCCAATATGCGGTTGGTTACCTTGTTCACAGACAGATGACGCGATGACAAATCTGCGCTGTTTGTTGTCCGCTTCAGCCTAGTTCGAGGAATGATACTCTGGAAAAATTCGATTTTCAATTTTCGGAAATCAACGAATTTATGTTGATGATAGACACTACCTTGCACTGACGAGTGGCCAAACAATGGTGTCTCAATTCAGTTTGTCGCTCGGTAAATCTATACGTATAAATGCGAAAGTCACTCACTCATTCTCATCTCTGTTTATCCGTACTGGTGAGTACTGTGGAGCTAACATTTGAAAATTTGGTACATAAATGCTTCTTAGGTCATAGATGTGCACTGAGAAAAGATTTTCAAATATTCCAACTGGGGTGGCCCCCGTGATGGTGAAAGTTACCTTTTTATCACTGTTTCTCTGTACCGTTATATTTTCTGACTCTGAAATTCCGTATGTAGGTTTGTTTTATGTTGTAGGTGTACAATAATAAACGATATTTGAAACAGACGTGTTCATCAAATAATGTTAACTTTTCGTCAGTGTTTCTCTCCACCGGTTTATTTTCGAAGGCTAAAATTTTGTATGCAGGTTATTTCTATATTGTGGGTGTGCAATAAGAGAGGATTTTTGAATATACCAGCTGGGGCGCCAGCCGCGGACGAATACAGCGCGTCCATAAAACAAAATTATCTTTTAATCATTGTTTCTCCATGCTCGTAAGTTTCCGGCGGGTGAATTTTTGTATGTGGGTTCGTTTTATGTTTCAGATGTGTCATTTAAAGGGATTTCAACATATTCTTAGTAAGACGCCTGCTGCTGTGGAAAAGGCGCGTTTATAAAATTTCATTATATCCTTTATCTTATTTTTCCAACATCATAGCCCCATAGTATGTGATTTGAATGAATATTATCGAATATATTTCTAATTTGAAATGCAGAGGCATAGCGTTTGCTGTGGTACCGGGCCAATCATATATGGCTCTTTCAAGAGTAACCTCTAAAGAAAACATGTTTGCTTTGTCAAATGACAAAAAAAACTGTGAACGTTGTAAATGAAGACATTCTGTAGTATATTTAGTATCAGCACTGTACCCGTGCGGAGCCGGAGCAGCTCGCTGGTATTCTATAAACAGTATAAACAAAAAATCATATGATATCGTGGACCTATAAGGAATACTTTTGAACGAGAAATTTCAAAGATGGCATCATGAACAACTTTTTTCAGAAATCATCATTTTCATTTCTCTCTAAGTATGTATAAATAATAGTTTATGTATGCCGTCACCCAGAGGAAAAACTGAGTCGGGAGTCCGTACAAGCTAGATCCCCGCTGGCAAAGACCTCTGCTATACGTCCAGTCCGACACTGCCAACAACAATAACTTATTATCTTTTCCAGTCTCGCCGACGGTGGACCCTTTGGCGGCAGCTGTCAAATTCACGGACCGATAGCGACCGCTATGACCCTATCCGAATCGGAGGAACTGACCGAAAGCGGTGCGGAAAACGGCCTAAAAAGTCCTGTGCTCCGGAACCCCGCTTACTCGCACAGTCGGTGTCCTCCGGAGATACACAAGTCTTGTTTTTGTATCAGATTTATTGCCGAGCATACGAAAATGCTGGAGGACTCTACGAAGGTGAGCATGCATACCACTCTAGAATTATCATATGAAGAACTAATTTCCCCCACGACATCGATGGTGCCCCACTTGAATAACGTAACAAAAATATTCTCACTTAATACAACTGAAATTTTTAAGAATTTTCCAAAGCTGTGATTAGGAATCGATGTCAGCCGGTTGTTCTTAAATGCTGCATTTTATTTTTGGTGGCAGCAAATATATATTAGCAAAAGCAATTTGATTTTATAACAGTTATGTTAGTGTTTTGGAATTGTAATAAATATACCATACTAGAAAATAGTTGGGAAATTATCATTGAAGTGACAATATGGTAATGAAGATAAAATTGTGTCTGAAAGCATTTAAATAAAATAATTTCATTAAAGCTACAGGAAACAGTTATAAAATAAGCTTGGAATAGTTTTATAACTATCATAAAAATCTCGCAGAAAAGTGTTATAAAACTGCTACATAACAATTTACTTTTATAGGAAAATAAGTTTTATAAGTTAGTTGCAAAAACGTTTCTGTGATAATTTCCTGACTATTTTATAATGGTTTTTTAATTTTATTTCATAAACGTTCCTATGACAAATTTATAAAACACTTTTATCGCCTACAACTGTATTGTGTTCACCGACCATCTAATATAATCAATTAGCATTTTGGAAGTAATTATAAAATACTAATAAAATAAAACTGTTGCAACACCATGGAATTATAAAACAACTTTGCTGGTTGGGTAAGAGACATTACGTATCAGACAAATGAAATGAATTCAATAATGCATGAATGATAACATTACATGACAAAACAACGCTTAGGCACGTCCATTGATAGTTTCGGTTATGCATTTCTTTCAACAAAAACTTCAGATAGAGGTTGTGTTATGTGACAGGTGTATATTTTTAAATATGTTTCATGTAAAACATCCTTTATATTTCTTGATTTTTTTTCGAAATATCTTAGGATCTATTGGTAAAATCAACATCAAAAATGAAAATGTTTTGATTTTTAAATTTCACTGCGGTACATTTTTTTTCATTCAGGTGTTGATGATGAGAAAGTGAGCAGAAATAATTTCAGCCTTCCTTTTCACGGATTTAAAATTGAAAAAAAATTATTAATAGTTTTGTTAACTCTTTGACAAGCCTGGCCTTAGCGAATTGTTAACTCCATATAGAAAAAATGGGTTGATTCAACAGAATTGCATGAAATAAGTTGAAATAAGAAGTTGTTCACAAAGGACAATTGATTAAAAAACAGATTCAACTGCACAAAACGTTATAGAAGAAGAAAAAAAGCCACCCGAAACAACTACTTACATATGAACTTTGAATTACAAGCGAGGAAAAGTACTTTCGAAACTACTTCCATATGAAAGTTGAACTATTATAAATTCCCTGTTCTTCGGCGGACTTCGAAATTTCGAAATCAGACACTTTTTTTATTACCTTTCAGCACCGATCTGGATGACATTTCAAGATGAAGTAATCAATTCATCCATAACATCAGGACTTCATGTCACGGAAGAATCAAATCTACTCATGTCACGATGACAGTACGCTGATTTGATTCAATCCTATCCATTGATTGGAAAGGATTCATTTTAAAAGAGATCAGTTTCTGGGAAAGAAAGGTATCCGGGCAGTTCGACGTGGGTGCTTTGTTCACTCAGTCAATCGGTCGATGTGTGAATCGACGGTTCAAGCCACAGGCTGAACCCTCGATTTACACTTGCTATCGTCCAACCCGTGTCAGCAATCACACGTTAAATGGTAAGGCTTCGTTAGTCCTTTGCTCGCACAAGTTTCGACTTCTGAGGGTTATCGTTCGTAGAGGTGCAATAGCTGGTTAATGAAAGAAACATATTTTTTTTAAACATGTATTGAACTTTCTACCTCTTCATCCCTACACAATAAAATGGTAAACTTACGAAAGAAGTGAACTCTTTGCATGTAGATCATATATAGAAGTTACTTCCACATATAAACTGGTGAAAAAAGCCATCCCGAAACGATAACTTCCACATGAACAATGAATAACCAATTTTTACATAATGATAGAGGAGTGTAAAGTGAAGAATAATTTTTTCCAGAAACTTATAACTTCTCAAATATACTTCCTACAGTTTATCCCTGAATATTCTTTAAAAACCAGAAACTGTGTAACATGGAATAAGAGAGTTGGTATTGGCCACTAGGTATTACGTTACACAATTTGTTTAAAAGTTTTTTTCCCAATATTCAACTAAAAATACTAATCCACTCCATTTTAGAACATGCCAGCTTTCACTTATCATCCAATTTATTCTAATTGCCTAATGCACACTGAATTTAAAATAGTGTCATTTCATATTAAGATAAGACAAAATAAAAAATTCTTTGCAAAGTATATTGCGTTGCTAGTGAAAAAAATAACACTTCCTACAAGCGAAAGAACGGTTTACCAAAAAAAAAGATCACGTCATATCATTGAAGTATAAGAATTATTGCAACGGAAGTTGTTCGTCTTGGTGAGCGAATAGACCGTAGGAATTCGAGTATTTATCTGACTGACTCCTTACATATGGGCTGAAAAGTCCCCTAAGAAAGAAAACGCATTCAAAATTGTCTTTATTCATCAACGTAATCTCCAGCAAGAGCCACACAATCTAGCGTTGATCTAACATTTCAATATGACTTTCGCAGAACGAATCATCTTTTGTCTCAAAATAGGCCTCAGTTACAGCAATAACCTCAATCGAGCGAAATTTCTTACCGGTGAGCATTTTTTGAGGTATGCAAACAGCCAGTGGTCGCTGGGAGCCAAATCTGGTGAATATTGTGGATGTGGCAGCACTTAGGAAGTTTTATTTATGTAATATTGTCATTGTTTTAATTGACTTGTGACACGGTGCGTTGTCTTGATGAAACAATTTTTTTGCCATATGCAGTCGTTTCATTGCAGTTTCGGCCTTCATACGTTCCAATAACGCTCTATTATATTCAATATTGATGATATTTTCCTTCTCAAGATAGTCGATGAATATTACACCACGCACCTCCCAAAATAACGGAACCGTAACCGTTCCAGCCGATTGTTTTGCTTTCGGGCGCTTTGGGCGAGGTCCACCAGTTGCCCTCCACTCAGATGACGTTTTGATTCAGGAGTTGAGTAGTGGATCCATGTTTCATCCATTGTAACATATCGACACAAATATTCCGGTTTTGTTATGTTTGAACATGGCCAAACAGTGCTCAAAATGTTTTTGTTTTTGGTCAACAGTGAGCTCTTGCGGCACCCACTTTGATCAGAGCTTTCTCATAGCTGCTCAGAGCTGGTGTTACTGACTCATTCGGACATCCACTGCGTTCTGTTTCATCGGTGTCTCTTTCACCACGTTTGAAATCAGCAAACCAACGTTCAATTGTTGTTTCTCATCGAGAACTTTCAAGCCAATACTTTGCTTGAACTGCATTTTTTCCCATCAAGAAGCAATGTGAAATTGAAACACGAAATTGTTTTCGATTAATTGTTTTGAAAATAACAAAAGTAGTGCCACTTTTAGCACAATAACTCACAAACTTATGAGTGGGATATCATGAAATTTCAACAGCTTTTTTTGTAGTTCAGTACTTACTGAAAATGCAATGAACGCAATGAGACTATCGCCATCTATGTGTTAAGTCCGAGGCTTTTGAGCCCATGATGGGCGCCACCTGGCTAAATGCATCAAGTCAAAACATACAGTTCCACCACTTGAAACAATGCATCTACTGGAAGAACATTGAAATATAAATGGGAGCAAACGATGAGGAATCTGAATCCAATTATGTGATTATTATTGGATTTTCATTCGTCTAGGAAATACAGCCACAAGTTCCATCTAACATCTCACCATGAAAATACTGATGTAATGTCTATTTATGAGGTACTAGATAAAAATAGGAAATAGAATTATTGAAAAATAGATCAGGCCTGTTACTTCTGGGCAAAGTGGAACTGATGAATTTAAAATCGGAATCAGGTATTTGCTCGCCTTCCTTCTGAATAACAACAGGTTGACAAGATTTTCTGCGATAATGAAATGCCAATAGTTCAGTTTTTCCAATTCACGAAGATACTGTATTGAGGCATAACCACTCATACAACCCTGAGTTGAATTTTTAATAGATGGAAAATTATTAGTAGTACTCATCATTAGTTTCAGAAACACGAGTTCTTCATTCGTTCAAGTTCTAAAATTCGAATCGAACTCGATACAGCATATCACCCTGATTTATTGATTCATCCTGACATTTCAGCCTACTGAAAGAATTTTCGAAAAATTCTACAGTATTACGCATAACGTAGTTTGTGAATTAGGATTTTTTAAATTTTCTTTCGTATGAAAATTTGTATTGAATTATATATGCTACAATAATTCAATAGAGTGTCTACAATAGTTCACTGTAGTAGCTTGTAGATTAATAATTCGTTTAGGCTATTCTCTTTGGGTATTCAACCTATTACAATCTGAAAAATAAACAAAGCTAAATCAATAGAGAATCGGCTGAAGTAATAAAGGCCAAACTGAAAAGTTCAGTTTGGAAAGTTACTGCGTGATATAAGCCACTAACGAGTGCAATCAGTCGTTAACCTGTATCCAAAAATTGAATAATCAATGAAAAAAATAAATGTGAATACCTCATTTTCTTTTGATGACTTATGTTTCAAAAAACAACTAGTTTTTATTGTCAAAATTTAATAATCTACTCGTGGAAAACACATTCAATATTCCAAAAATTGAAATCAGGTTCATATTACCGTTTTCAAACTCTCGCTTTTGCAATGATAACCAGGTACGATCCATTTCCGCAGATCTATCTGAAATGCATTCGTTACCTGCTGAAAAAATGTAAACGGATTTTTTCCCGACGCACTTTGATGATAATTTTTGATTCACTTTATTCATTTCCCCAAAAATACAAATTTGTATCAATCTCGCTACTGCATTTTACGCTCATTTGGTGACTTAGACAAAATTTCTCGGA